CTGTAGTCGATGCAAAGTCTCATGGATCCATCTTTCTTTCGAACAAATAACACCGGTGCTCCCCATGGGGAAACGCTAGGTCGGATGAATCCCTTTTCCAGTAGCTCTTGCAACTGAGCCTTCAACTCCTTCATCTCGGCAGGTGCTATACGATACGGTGTAGCAGATATGGGTTCCGTACCCGGAATGAGATTGATCGAGAACTCTACCTCTCTCGGCGGAGGCAAACCAGATAGGTCTTCGGGAAAGACATCGGGGAAGTCGCAAACCGTACGAATGTCCTGTTGACGTGGTGATTCTTTTCGCATATCCTGAACGTGACACAGGAACATCTCGCACTTCTTGCGAATCAAGCGCTTCGCGCTCAAGGACGATATGAACTCGGGAGCCTTGGGGAACACCTCCCCGGAGAGTGATATGTCGCTACCGTCCTCGGCTCTCAGCCGTACGATCCGACAACTGCAGTCGACCACTGCTCTATGCTCGGTGAGCCAATCCATACCAAGGATAATGTCAAACTCCTTGTGTGGTAGCTCTATCAAATCTGCAGAGAATTGCTTCCCTTGCACGGACAACGGACACCTATGATAAATGTGATGAAGACGCGTGCTATGTCCTAGCGGATTCGATACAACGGTAGGTATCTCAAGGTCACTCCTCACAATCGCAGAATTAGCGGGCATGCCAACACAGATATAGGAGAGCGTAGAACCCGGATCGATCAAGGCATGCATAACCGAATCAAATAGTATGAACGTACCCAAGATAACATCGGGACTAGGATCTGTGCGCCCTTGCATGGCGTAGGTACGCGCTGGTGCCCGGCCTGACTGCTGCGGACGTGGTCTCTGCTTATTATTTGCTGCTGTAGACTGCTGACTCCGTGCTGGATGTGATGTGGCAAGCTGATCCGGAGCTCTAGGAAAAACAGGCTCGCTGCTAGGGTTTGTCGGGCAATGCCTCCTGAAATGCCCTGGCTGACCACAACCCAAACATAAGCCTTGGGCGAGCCAACACTCGCCCGGGTGATGCCTACCACACAGTACACACTGCGGGTGGCTCCTCGTTCTGATCGAGTTGCTAGCGGCAGCCGACGGAGACGGCCTCGACTTACTCCTCTTAGGCGGCGGCGCGCTCGAAGAACCCTTCTCGTACCTCTTTCCCCCGAATCCAAAACTCTTCCCGTTCAGCCCGGTGCTGGCCGCGGGTCGCGGGTCTTTCGTCGCTCGATCCTCCCTCTTGGTTGCGTGCAAATCGTCCAAGCTCTTTTCCGTCTTCACGATCAAATCATACGCCGCATTAAAATCTGTCGTCGTGATCAGCGCGGCGTACGGCCTCAAGTCCGGCCGTAGCTTCTTGACGAACTCATTCAAACAATCCTCCGGAGTGGAGACCAGACTCGTCGCATACTAGGACAGGTAGTCGAACTTCTGTCTCAGTTCAGGCAGTGACATCCCCTCCTGCTTAAGCGCAACGAACTCATCGCGCCTCTCTTCGCGGTACCGGGTGGGGACGTACTCCTTCGTGAAGGCTCGATCAAAGCGATCCCAGGTCCATGGCTTGGGCGTGTGTGGATCCTGGTCAATGCGCTTCCACCAATCATATGCTCCCTTCCGGAACATCTGTGACGCCAACTCCGAGCGATCTGCATCAGGGACTCTCAAATTCTTGAGTACCCGGTCCATCTGCTTAAGCCAATCCAATGCAATCTGGGGCTCCCCCATCTTGTCTCCTCGAAACTCTTCCGCTCCGTTATCCTTCAACGTCTTGAAGGTAACGATGCGCGGCTGCGGTTGTGGTGGTGGCGGTGGCTGGAACATGGGCATAAGCTGCGCCATGTGCTGCATATAATGGGCCATCATGGCCGGGAACATCTGCTCGTAGGCCACCTGCGGTATCGCCAACGGGGGCATCACTGGAGGTGGTACGACTGGCGGTGGTACAGCTGGTGGCTGTCCCGCTGGCTCAGGTTGATTCTGCTGTTGCCTTCGTCACCCGGAGGCGTGAAACTCGAACCCTCGGTGTTCACCGTGTGCATGCTCACGTGCTCCGGCTCCGGAACGTACTGACTGTGGGTCGTTTCTTGACTCATTCTAAAATAATAAGGAAATTCCCAGTTCAGATCTTAACATATAACAGATAAAGCTATAAATACTTATTACCTTCCCGGGGCAGAGGAGTTACGTGAGATGCAGATGCGCCTGAATTATTCATTGTATTATTTTTTTTGAAAGGGTCCAAAGACCGATTTTAAAACCAAATGCTCCGATACCAAAATGTAACACCCCAACTCGCGTAACCCAAACCCGTGAGATAGCGGGTCGGTGTGCCACCGGATTGGTATCCGAATATACAACATTTTCAAAACAATTTTAAACAAACGTTCTATCAATACATATAAAAATCCATCGGAGTAATTTAAAATAATGCGGAAGCCTTTTTAAAGTCAAACAACTTGGGATCTTGCCCGAAAACGTAATAAGCATTAAAGTTAATTAAATAAAGCATAATCAACAGATTAAAGAGACAGCCACGCCATCGTACATCTCCTCCTCAATGCCCTCTGGAATCGGCTCTAGGTTCATCTGTCTGATCACCTACGGACAGCAAAAGAAAAACAACGCTATCCGCTCAGCATTGACGCTGAGTGGTACTCCATTGTAGCACAAGAATAAACATAATAATTCAACAATTAGATCGTGCATATGATTATCCTTTTGATAAAAATCAATTCAACTTTAAATTCGGTTCTTTAGATGGTTGACCAACAGTCAACTTATTTTCTTTCTTTTCAAAACGATTTAGGTGTTACGGGTTTCTCATGAACTCTTTGACCACCGGTCAAACCAATTTAGACTTTCACCAAAGTCAAACCACTTAACATTTAA